CAAGTTTCCTGAGCTGTCATACAGAGTAACATATTCACTGGCGGTGAGATCTGAAGAGCTAGAAATAGCTGTTGTCATATCTAGCAGAAACTCTTGAAGATCAATGTCCTTCCACTTGCAATATGAGATGTTCTTTCTGGTTCGTCTTTCAACTGAGATGTTGACATTGAACAAGACACTGTAGTGATCAGACCTTACAGAATGATCAAATCTTACGTTACTGACCTTCAGTTCATTCTTACGCACAATCACCAGGTCTAGAATATGTCCCTGAGCGTGAGTTGGCTCATGTATAACTTGAGTTAGACCATGAGCTTCCAGAATATTGAGCAGCTTCTGTGCATCTCTGTCATTTGTCTTGTCAATGTGGTAATTAAAGTCCCCACATATTAAGAGCTTACCGGGTGTTGTCGTCAGAGAATCAAGAAGTGCACAAAAGTCATCAAAGATGTATCAAATGTTTTATTAGTAATTAAGACCAGTATTCTAATGTTTTAAGCTTTTCTGCCGTTTTGCAGAATCTTTCTATATGACTGCGCAAACATGTCATGGAAGGGATTGTATTAGGAGAATTCACGTGCAGGTTTTGGCAATCGTGTGCAGTGACAACAAAATATACTCTCCCAAAAAAGAAACGCACATAGGAATTTCAACTGTATTTTTATGTTTATTTTGAAACATCTTGTAGGCTTTATGAGTCAATGAAATATAGCGAAATTGCACACTGGGAATGCAGACTTCTCCATCTTTGGAACCAACTCGAGGAAAGTCAGTTTGAGTGTCACATGGAGACTTGTGGTGGCGCTGAAGTCAATACCTCGTGTGACCACCGTGGGCATCCAGAACTGCATGGCATCGCTTCGGCATCGAACGAATAAATCTCAGAATCTCGTGTTGCCCAATCGCAGCCCACTCTGCCTGTAGTTCCTGTGCATGTTGCTGAAGTGTCTGGGGCTGAGGGTTACGGCATCGTCCCCGTCTGTCCAGGACATCCCACAGATGTTCGATCGGGTTTAAGTCCGGGGATCTTGAGGGCCAGGGGAGCACATTGATGTTGTGGTTCTGGAGGAAGTCTCTAGTGTGACGTGCTGTGTGGGGCCTGGCATTGTCCTGTTGAAACAACTCCCTCTGGCGATCAATGATTGGAAGGAGGTGTGGGCGTAGGATTTCGTCACAGTACCGTTGAGCTGTTAGGTTGCCCTGGATCATCACCAAATCACTTCCCCTACGGCAGGTGATCGCTCCCCACATCATAACACCGCCCCTGCCAAATCTGTCCACCTGGGGAATGCAAGCGTCGGCGAAGCGTTCACGTCGACGTCTGTACACCCGCATTCTTCCATCGCGTCGTTCCAATAGAAATCGTGATTCATCACTGAACCAGATTCTACGCCAATTCGGTAGGTTCCAGACCTGAACGTTGGTGTACCATTGAACTCGATGTCGACGATGTTGTTGTCGAAGCACAGGGACAAAATAAGGTCTTCTGGCACGTAAACCAGCCTCTCTCAACCTGTTCCTGACGGTCTGTGCAGAAAGCCTCCTCAATCCGGGTATTTGTCGAGCGGTACTGGTCGCCGTAGCTGTTCGATGACGCAGGTGATGTACCCGGATGTAGCGATCCTGCGCCGCAGTGGTCGCTCGAGGTCGCCCACTACGAGGGGCATCTGCTACCGAATTCTGCCGGCGATATAATCTCCCAGAGCCATGAAATGTTGCTTTGGTGAACATTCATACGTCGGGCAACTGCACGTTGAGACTGGCCAGCTTCAAGCATACCAATGGCGATATGACAGTTGGCTTCACTTAGACGTGGCATTTTGCGTTCGTCAACAATATTCCAAATACAGTGAATAATCGACAGACAGTGATCAACCTGTTATACCCGTCATTGAGACTATCTGATCCCCAACTTTCACGTGCATTGCGTGTGAATTGTGTATTCTGTGACACTACACGCCGAAATTGAAAATCATGCTGTTAAATACGGGTATTGTACGGATGGTGCGTTTTGTTGTGATTTTTCAAAACATAAACACCATAGGACTCATAAACAGAGCAAAACCTTTTGTAAAATGAATCACGTTTAAATTCATTGCTACATGATATTGCCATTTTCATGATGCGTTTCGTTTTAGGGAGAGTATATATTAGGCCTAACGTTAGTCACAATTTCGTCAACATACTGAGTCAAAAAAGAAACTTCACAAAACGTAATTTGAAAAATAATGAATCATTTTTCTCTGATGATACATCTATGTATCCGAAATGGGATCCCTATCTTTCGACTCTAGAAAAACGTTAGCAAAACCCACTCAAACCAATCCATTCGTTGTGCAAATGACGTTAGTGCCAAATCAGGTTTTGCACGTGCAGTCGATCACGTGATTTTTGCATCGAAGTTTTCTTCATATGCACGTGTTTGCCTTTGGCCTCAAGAATTGAAAAAACACTTTGAAACCACAGTTCTAACGGTACTTGAAATGCCACGATTGTCAAATGTGCAACGTGAACGTGCCGTTGGCATGTTGCAAGCGGGAAGATCAGTTATTGACGTCGCAAGAGCAATGGGATGCAGCCGTCGTACTGTGTATGACTTGCGAGGTCGTCTACAAAAAACTGGCAGCACTTCTGATCGCCAAAGGTTGGGTCGTCCACGTGTGACGTCACGAGCAGAAGACCGTCAAATCGTCCTACGTCACCTACGTGACAGATTTCTGCCGGCTACACGAACCAGGGCTGAGATGTTTAGAGGTCGACTGTCCTCACAGACCATTCGAAATCGGTTGCGGGCTGCCAATCTCCATTCTCGACGTCCATATCGTGGGCCAATATTGACGCCGTTTCATCAACGTCAACGTCCGCTGTGGGCCCAACGTCACCTCCGATGGACCCAGAGAGACTGGGATCGAGTCGTCTTTAGCGATGAATCCAGGTTTACCCTCAGATTCGCGGACGGCAGGCATAGAGTCTGGAGACGACGTCGTGAACGGTATGCCCAATGTTGTGTACAGGAAGTCGACAGACTCGGGGGCGGAAGTTGCATGGTGTGGGGTGCTTTCTGTGGGAACAACCGTTCCCGACTTCTGGTCATCCGTGGAAACCTCACAGCTGCTGCTTACGGCGACCAGGTGCTCACCCCTGAACTCGTTCCTTTCATGGCAGCTCATGGCCAAGGTCTACAGTTCCAGCATGATAATGCTCGGCCGCATACCGCGATGTTGACACGAAATTTCCTTCAAAACGCTGGAATCAACGTCATGGACTGGCCATCGAGGTCCCCTGACCTTAATCCAATAGGGCACGTTTGGGATGCACTTGGGAGAAGCCTTCGTGGTCTTAGGAACCAACCTCAGAATTTGCAGGAACTTTGAGCAAAGGCGCAGAATCCCCAACCACGTGTTCACAAGCATCAGGCAGTCGATGAAGTGACGCCGTTTGGCAGTGGTGAATGCGCGGGGCGGCCATACACGGTATTGAACTGAGAAGTTTCGCATTTGTATTCTTGTGACTTGACATTCTGTATACCCATGTTTTGGAACGGCGGTGTAGCCTAATGGAACTGATTATGGCACTGTCAGTGTATCGAGTACATCACACAGATCTCAGCAATGAAATAATAACAATTTAACCATCTTACCATCTCTTGTTCTTTTATAGTGCCCTGAAGAAAGAATGTGAAGTTTCTTTTTTGACTCAGTATATTTGAAGCGGGAAAGTGGTGCTACTGAGTTTTGCCAGTCACATAGCATTCCCAACGCCGAATAGTCCCAATTTGTAATTTGTAGTTTTCAACGTACACCCGAGCACCATTCCTCGATCCTGGGATGAATATTCCCGTCCAAATTGAACTCTACATTGTCAGCGAAGTGATGGAAGAAGAGTAATTTCCCCTGCACAAGACCCGTACATCCGGGTGTTTTCTTGTCATCGACATGCTACGGCCACCGGCACTGCTGGGCGTATACCTGTGGGTATCTACTTCCTTGGATCAGTGGTCATGACCCCGACGTCTGTCTATCGCAAACAAACAAACAAACAAACAAAAAACAATCAAACAAACAAACAAACACAAATTACTGGTGCAGATGACACGGGAACACGTGCATCTCCATCACTGGCTTCCATCAGCGATGGTGAACCCCCTATAACACACTATCTTTCTTTGCCTAGTCCGGATCTTTCTTATCCTGTCCGGATCAGCTGATCTTAGGTTCGAATCTACAATGTTTCTGTCAGTACTATACTCACACTAAACACTGTGTTCCGATTATGCTACGGCAAATCAGGTTTGTATGAAAGACGACCTAAAGTTGGCCTAAATCCTTGGCATTTCTCTCTTTGATGAAACGAGACTGACTGACTGACTGAATTTGGTTTTACGCCGCTTTTAGCAATATTCCAGCAATATCATGGCGGGGGACACCAGAAATGGGCTTCATACATTGTGCCCATGTGGGGATTCGAACCCGGGTCTTCGGCGTGACGAGCCAACGCTTTAACCATTAGGCTACCCCACCGCCCCGATGAAACGAGAGAGGCCAGGTAAAGGAGAGGGGCAAAGTAAAGGACTGCTAGCCAGACAGGGACTATAATAAACGAGCTTACACCCCTGACATTTCATTCTGCCATGGAACGTAACTGCCTTCTTAATTCATGGATTTACAAACAGTTTACAAAGGTTTAACGTTGATTAGACATTCACAGCACGTTCGTCAGGAGCAACGAAGAAAGACTATAGCACAACACCTGTTATACATCTGATCAGTATTCTATAATCGATGTTATTAAATAACGTTCAGTCTGTTCACCACACACGCGCATAAATTTACATTTTGACAGTGGGTCGTTGAACACGTATATGCTTGTATTTCACAGCCAATCCTGGCCCTCGCCGAACATACAGGGAAATCATAAAGTTTTCATTTTCGTCTCGTCATCAACAATAAAATGAAGATAGCTGCTCGAGACACGGGTGACTGCTGCGCACCCGCACCAGGTCAAGTGACAGTCAGAGTATTAAAAAGGCCATCTGTTCAGTAGAGTCACCAACGAGCGGTAACGATGGATAGGCCTACCGAAACACCAGGCAATTCTCAAGTTCCTGGAGATCATGGAGGCGATTTGGATAGCATCGGGACACACGGAAACGTGCCGGATGGAGAAGGTTGTTCAAACGGTGGATTTCAGGAATGTGTGATAGACTTAGGGGATGGACAGAAGACGGAAGCTGAGGGTAGGACGAATCATACGAAACGCCGTTACTTAAAGGAACCTCCGCCGCTGAACCATTCCAAAAGGTATGCACTACAGTAGAACCGGGGGTGTAACAACAGGACAATAATGAATTGCACGCACATAGGGTAATCAATTCGTTATCTGCATGTTACACAACAGAATGAAATGGATGTCAAGATCTACATAGACATAACGAACTAAGAAGAATAGGGGAGCGATTATGTTTTTACGCCGCTTTTAGCAATATTCCAGCAATATCAGGGCGGCGGGCACCAGAAATGGGATTCACACATTGTATCTATGTAGGGAATTGAACCCAGTCCGTCAGCGTGACGGGCGAACTCTTTAACCACTAGACTACCCGACCGCCCCATAAAGAACTAAAACAAACCACAGATCGTTATATACATGTTCGGTGACGAACGATTTAATTAATGACGAACTACAAAGGACTGTAGAAATCACTTCCTTACATAACGTGTTAGTCTTTGAACGAAAGATGTTGATATAACGAAGAACAAGAGAATAAGAGTTCGTTGTATACGTCATCAGTAACACAATGAATATATGCATGATATAAGGAACTTCGAATAACTGGAAAACCAGTTCCGCGTAGACATTGTTCGTCAAAGAACGTTGATTTAACGAAGTACAGGGGCTTGAGAAATGAATTCATTACATGTATTGTTCGTCACAGATATATAACGAAATAGATGACTCCATTAGTTATATACAGTGCTGACATAGCCTCCAGCTACAGATCACAGGACGTGATGACTTTATAACAATAAATGTCATGAAACACCACACAAAACACTGTCAAAAATGTATTGAGCGTTTCGACCTGCACGATGTATACGTATTTAGAGGGGAAGATATGATGTTGCATTGTCAACCGCTGTATAATGTAGATATTCTCTCATTTAATACAAAACGCTTGCATGAACACACCTTATCTAGTAGCATGAAAGAATTTCTCGCTAAATATGAATGAACAGGTATCTCTCGCTGGTGTGACATTAATGTTTAAATAGATTGTTAACAAATAAATTAATGCGTTTTCAACAACGTTTAAAACCATGTTATTTTACATCTGTGTGGATTTCTGTAGAATGTTAATACTCACCTGTATTCTTAACTTAAGCCGCCATATAGCCGGAATATTGCTGAGTGCGGCGTAAAACCCAATTCACTCAAGTCTTAACTTAACTTTCTCTGGGAAACCTTCCAATGTTGCAGAGATCTCGGCAGAATTGATTAATTCCTACGTTGAAACTATATGTTTTGGCGATATGCGTTCATTCAAAATGAAAGATCCAATACCGATTTTATGAATTACAGATGGTACCTGTAGGACATGCTTACCCTTTTTGAACACCCGGCGTCAGGCTAATTTTCAGAGTTCCTCTCATAAAAGTCTTCACAGTTACGTTGCTCCGTCTGCATATGTTTCTGTGTTATTTTGCACTTGCGTCTTGTGTAATATTGCACACGCGCGCACGCACACACACACACACACACACGCACACACACGCGGCAATTAAAATGAAGATTTTGTTTATTCGTGAACCATTCAAGATAAAAGTAATTGCTGGTAACATTAGTGCACAAACGCAACCGTTTTAAACTTTTGCACACACAAAGACCCATCCACAATTGGGCAAACGCAGGCTCATACACACACTCATGCATACATGCACTTCCATCCATCATCCATCCATCCATCCATCCACCCCCCCCACCCCCCACACATACATATATACATGCATACATACATACATACATACATACATACATACATACATACATACATACATACATACATACATACATACATACATACATACATACATACATACATACATACATACATACATACATACATACATACATACATACCTTCGTTGACTTATAACAACACTGCAAATAGTTATGTGTCTCTGAGAGAACTTAACACCCACCATTACCAAACTATTCATCGCCGTTATGATCAAGGCAAGTAATCGTGGCGGAAATCTCTGTCAGCACATAATTAGGATATCCCCATCAGCAGCTCTTATGATCATTTTATCAACATCTGCGATGACCTGTGCAGGTTAAATGATGTGATTAATGGGTCAGCTATTGATCGGAATCCCACTTCTGTTTACAAAACAAGACTGACTGACTGACTGACTGAGTTTGGTTTTACGCCGCTTTTAGCAATATTCCAGCAACATCACGGCGGGGGACACCAGACATGGGCTTCACATATTGTACCCATGTGGGGATTCGAACCCGGGTCTTCGGCGTGACGAGTGAACGCTTTTACCACTGGGCTACCCCACCGCCCCTATACAAAACAAGAACATTCAGAAACGTACCTTCCTATCTGACTGTCCACACCTTTGTGCGTGTGGTCGTATTACCATATTGATATTGTCAGAAGACCGGTAAACGTTTCAAAAAGGCCTTTTCAATATTACTGTGAAGAAAATCACCATTAACAACCACCACCACAACAACCTAAACAATCACAACGACGTCCACACCAACAATAACAACTTCAACAACGACAACCAACTCCATACAACAAAGCCTTTTCATTAAAGAAAAAGTACAACCACCACCAAGGACAACCACAACAACAGAAACACTAAGACCAACAGCACCCACAATGACAACATCAACGACCACAACGGCAACAACAATAACAACTTCAAAAACGACAACCAACTCCATACAACAAAGCCTTTTCATTTAAGAAAAGGTACAACCACCACCAACGACAACCACAACAACAGAAACACTAAGACCAACAGCACCCACAATGACAACATCAACGACCACAACGGCAACAACAATAACAACTTCAAAAACGACAACCAACTCCATACAACAAAGCCTTTTCAATAAAGAAAAAATACAAAACCAACAACAACAACAACACCAAGACCAACAGCAACCACAATGACAACAACAACCACCACCACAACAACAACCTAAACAATCACAACAACGGCAACAACAATAACAACTTAAACAACGACAACAACCAACACTATACAGCAAAGCTTTTTCAATAAAGAAAAAATACAACCACCACCGACGACAACCACCACCACAACCACAACAAGACCAACAGCAACCACAATGACAACAACACCGACCACAAACGTCAAGTATGACCACAAGCAAAACCACAGCAGTACCAAAACAACCACAACAATTATTGCTAGGTACAGGTCAGGCACATCCCTGACAGTGTAAAAACTACAACACGTTCATCGGTGAGGTAAATACGGAACAGGTTTTGATAGAAAATATTGATTAAACAGATTTATCTATCATTAATGAAGAATATCTTGATAGTCTATTAATTGGACTACAACTCGACTGAATAGGATTCGGGAGGCTTTTCTGACAAACAATCTTATTACGTGTACCATTACTTCTTCACCTCCGCAACAGAAGACTTGTTACTAGATCATTTGTTCAGCAGGAGTGAATGAGTGAGTATGGTTTTACGCCGTTTTTAACCAGAAATGGTCTTCACACATTGAACTCATGTGGGGAATCGAACCCGGGTCTTCGGCGTGACGAGCGGACGCTTTAACATCTAGGCTTCCCCACCGACCCATGTCAGATAAAGGCAGTGTTATGTTTTTCATTGACTGACTATATAAAGACCTTATTTATATACTGGATACATGTTTACACTAATTTCATACAAGATTATCAAGCTGGCGTTTGACCTGAATACAAAACCATGGATCTCACTTTTACATAACAGGCAGTTGCACCGAATTGCATTTCAAAAGCTAGGGGTACATTTTACAGCAGCTTCGTTGACTTTCGAGATAATTTGCCACTAGGTAACACTTTGAAATAAGAAGGACATAAAGGCAACTTCATAACATCTTTGTATCTATGGAAGGAGATAATGGAGGAATGTTTACTAATGTCTGAACAAGGTTGTAGTCTAAATGATTACCTGGACTAATAATGATAAGAAAGCATTAGAGGAATTAGCTACTAACTTAAGGAAATTTCTAACGACAATGCAAGATGGCAGAATAACGAAAAGGGCTTATAATTTGTTATCTTACCTAGATACTGCTGGGTAGCACACATGGGCGTCTGAGATCCGTCATATACTTTGCTCACACGGTTTTGGACTCTCACAAACTGTCGGTGATCAGTGCGCTTTTATTCACATGTTTACAGAATGCTTGATCAACATCTTTTACCCGAGTTGGAGTCGTTTTCAGCCACAGGGGTATCTATCTTCCAAGTTAGGAATAGCACATAGAGAGCTGGTGTCTTACGTTTAAAGAATAACGTAGGAAGGAGGCAACGTATTGATGTATGTCTAAGAAATTGTCCGGTATATAAGGTAGGATTAGACGATGGAGAAAGCTTGTCTGTTGAAATGTCCGGTTATAAAGGGTGTCCTCCCACTTAGCCAGGTTCTGTAAAAACACGTCTCTCACATAGCCAGAGTGAGATGTGGCTGAGTGGGGTGAGTCTTTTGATAACACTTAGTCCACAGGAGCCATAGTTTGTTTCAAGGAAATGTTCAATTAGTGAAATTTGTATTAACGTGAGATACATGTATATTGATATGGTACTATTTGAATTGTTTTGGAGGATTTTAGGACTTGCTAACTTGGTGACACTAGTGACATTACCAATCATCCAGAAAAACATTCGTTATGTATAAAATCATTTATGCTGCCATTATTTGATCATTGTAGTTGTATATGGGATAATTGTAAGTTAGCCAGGCATCTATGTTTGAAAAAGTCGGTTTGATGCACTGATAACAATATATGGGGCTACAAGGGGAACAAGTCATAATAAGTTATATTCAGGAACTGATCTCTTACCTCTTGTAGAAAGAAGGCGAATTAAGAAATTAACTATCACTAAATTGCTAAATCATTTTTACCCAGTACTATTGAACTTTGGAATTCTTTGCTTGAAGAACTCAGACTTATACAAACACCAAGTGAATTCAAGAATTAGATTACATCATATTGTAATACTTCATTTGGATTTGATATCAACATTGGAAACAGGT